TAGTCCCTTTCGTCCCTTTAGTCCCTTAGTCCCTTTAGTCCCTTAGTCCCTTTAGTCCCTTTAGTCCCTTAGTCCCTTAGTCCCTTTAGTCCCTTAGTCCCTCTGTCTTGGTAAAAATGAGGTGTTATTTTTTTTTCAAAATTCAATTTGAAATAAAAAAACCCATAGACTCTAAAAATCAGCGTTTGATGAAGAACAATAGTACATTCTCGCATCTTCGAAATTCTTTTTTGCTTTTGAGATATTCGACTTTTCCTGTAATTTGGGTACTCTGACCTAGAATTTCGCAAATAATTTCTCGCTAATTCTTTTATTTTTCTTTCAAAATAGAAACTAACATGATATTCCGAATCAGCATCCAAAACTGAGTGGATTTATGTAGATATGAAATATTTTCAGGAGATTTTTTATTGTCAAAAAAATTTACCCTTGATCCCCCTCTTCAAGACTCAGCAAACATTAGTTTCTACAAAAAGACATTTTAACAGTGGGAGTCAAGCTCTCAGGTGGGAAAATGGTAGTAAAACTCAAAATGGAGGACTAATAAACAAGAAAATCAGCGTTTCGAAGAAACTCATTTACTGCAATTCCCTGAGTATGCAAGGAGAAATTTTCAACGGAAAAAAGGGTCGCCAAAGTATTTAATATCTAGATAGATCCACTCATTTTTGGATGCGGATTCGAAGCATCATGATAGTTTCCATTTCGAACGAAATATAAAAGAATTATCGAGATACTACTCGTCCAATTCTAGATCAAAATGCGCAAATTACAGTTAAAATCGAATGTCTCAAAACAAATAAGTATTTCGAAAAAAACAAGAACGTACTTTTGTTCCTCATTAAACGCTGGTTTTAATCATGTGCAAAATATTATTATATCTCATAAACAAAATAACCTCGATAGATTTACAAAACCGCATCGGGAAAGTTGCAGACTTCTAGGTCTCTTCTGATGCTCAATATTTTTTTTGAGTGATAACTTTTAAAAATAGTTTCCCATGTGCAGTTTTCAATGCTGAGGGAAAAGCTTCCGAAATGGATCAAAACAAAGTTATTCCGTTTAAAAAGGAAAATAGCTATTAGAAAACAAAAGAACTCTGAAGTTTTGTCGAGTTTTTTCGGCTAAAAACTCACATTTATCAGATCAAAAAGCAGATATTCTTAATCAACTTGAAACGTTTTATTGAATAATATAGAAATAAGCCAAAAACAAAATTGTGGAAAATTTGTATTTCGAAAATGTTAAGTCACAGAGTAGTAAATATGTTGTCAAACAGATGGTACAAGTCACTTAGGCGTCAGATAACTTCCTGTAGTCGAAGTTCCACTCACAGACAAGGAAACGGTTTGTGGAATACGCTCATAAAAGATTCTATTGCAAGTCTATGTTCGAACTCCCCAACTATTCTTCTTCTTCACAGAGTATAGAAGAACAAAAAGTTAGACGACAGTTTTTTTAAAATAATTATCAGATCCACACGTCGAATGTTCTTGAAATATGTGGTTCGCTTCTCATTGTTTATGATCGTATATATGGGGAGTAGGCCGCATCTAAATGAAAGATGATTTTTATCATAAACGAAAAGAGTTGTGCGAGTTTGATATTAGGTCCCAGCATAGACTACACTGATGATAATAATTCTTTTCTTAGCGATCATCATAAATAAAGAATCTACTCGTAGGCTACAACAGCGCTATGAGAAAAAGTGGCTCGCGTAGAAGACTTCTAGAAGAATAGAGTAAGAGAGAAAGAGAGCTGTAGGCAGAATGAAAAATGAAGTCATTCAATGAAAAAGATCCCAAGGCTAAAACGTGGAAAGGAGAAATTTCTGGGAAATAAAACCCCGAATTTGCCTGAAAGAGAAATCCAAATTATCCTTGAGAGACAATCTGATTTTTTTTGTGGACTGAACCGAAAACCTATTTTTGTTTCACAACGGTTTAAAAAACAATGTGATATTTGCCCTTACCTCTATACAACTAGGAAAATTTTTCCGATTTTCATGCGCGTGGGAGAGAAACTTCGACATATTCCGCAACCCCGATAATCATACTCAAATATCATATTGAGTGGTATTTCTCTTCACAGACGCATGGTTGATCACGACAGGAATAAATGCTGGCATAGTTAAAGAAGTGGGTGAAGCTCTCAACAATTATCGTTATAAAAGTCACAAGCATGGTCTCGATGTACCCTGTATTGGAATTGGTAGTTGGAATGATACAGCTGGCAGTGAACAGCTCGATACTCCAGCGACGCTATCTCATAAGGCCATCAATGCCACATTGAATAAAGCAACTGTGCCTTCGAAATATCATCATCACCAGATTGAATCTGATCAGATTGTGAGATTCAATCTCTAGTATTAATCTATTATTTTACATCATCTATAGGGTGTTGCTAATGATTATTACGTTCGCTCATATGTGATCAAACGGCAAGAAATGAAACGATGCGATTTGGAGCCAAATCACTCACATTTTTTGTTATTTGACGGTGAAGCGTCCAGTGCTCATAGTGTTCTGTTCCAACGAGCCGAAATTGAAAAGCATTCACGGCGAATTAATGCAACAATGGGTGCATTCACGCCAATTGTCATGGTTCTTGTTGAAGGTGGAGCATTGTCGATTCGAACTATTTGTCAAGCACTAGAATCGAATACTCCATTGGTCGTTGTTAAAGTGAGTACATGAATAGAGGATCACGAATAGATTAATGGGATACCTAAATTTTGAAGCTCTGCTTTTGGCTTCATTAGAGCAGGTTCACACATCTCCACTAATGGAGCACACTTTCCATCTGAATTTGAAATAGGAATCCGGTCGAGCTGCGGACCTGGTGGCTGATTTACATACATACTTTTGTAAAGTCGACATTGGCATTGATAGAAATCCGCAAAGATCTCTGGCAGGATTCATTAATAATAAAGATGATCCAGTGGCTTATTCAAGAGAGAATGAGTTGAGCTCAATGTAAGTTCTCATTCGTTTAAAGCATATTTTGTCTTTCCCTTCTTTAAGTAGATTGGAGAATACCAGAGCCAACAATTGTCCATGGGTTGATGATGTCAAGGACGAATTGTGTAGGGTGTTGCGTTGTCGAAAGCATCTGGTAACCATTTTCAAGTTCGACAATGAGCATCATCATGGCAATTTGGAAGATACCATTCTTGAAGCTCTCTTCAATGGTAAATACTCTTGATTAGCCCACTTTTGTGGAACTCACGTATATTTTCGAAGAAAATAGTGAGCGTAAGTTTTCAGTTCGAGGTTCGGGCTCCTCCCACCCCATTGCAGACATATAGCGACGGGAAAGAGAACATTACAGACATACCCCCCATTACAGACACTCCCCCATTACAGACCTTGGCAACTTCGTGAAAAAAAAAATTTTTGTTCGAAACTTAGAGATAGAAATATAGCATTTTCTAATCATCAATTATCTTTAGAAAAAAATTCTTATATTTTGGAGATTTTAAATATTGGGTATTTTGTCATTAGTATAATGAAACCAAAGGAGATATGTGAGTTCCACATTTCAGCCCCAAAGGGGCTACGCTGACAAGCTTTTTCAAAATTCATATCTTTAATCTATATAGCTGCCAAAGTCTTGGGCGATATTAATAATAAACAACAGTGTCATGTGGGCGAACTCAAATTAGCTATGGTATAAAATTTAATTTGTTACAAAATCTGTTGAATAATTTCAACTTCACTCTCTTGTCAGGCATGGCAAAAGTTTGAATATGCAGAAAAGCACATTCTCACCGATACGACCATCTCAAAATGGGAGGTACGCGAGTATTTTATTGTTTTCTCTTGACATTAACATATATGAATGAAAGGAAGTCGACCTTTGTCGAGCTCTAGTCGAAGCTCTTCGTCGAGGCCATGTCGATTTTGTCGAATTGCTCCTTGAATATGGAGCACCACTCGAAAAATTGACTATCAACGATCTTGAACAACTCTATGCAACGATAAATGTATGTATCATTCAAAAATTGCTAAATTAATCGATCAAATGTTTTGTATGTTTTCTTATTGAACAGACCGATGATGGATTACCAGTGGAAAATAAGAGTAAAGAAAATTTTCCGACAAGGGACGACTATTATTCAAGCTATTTCAAGGTTCATTTCGAAGTATGTGTGCGCGTGTGTCTACATACATATCAGTGTGAATCTCTTCATGTAGCTTTATCGATTACCATCTGATAAGAGCTCAGTATTGGGAAAACATTCTGCGCGTGAGCTCTTTCTTTGGGCTATCTTTCAAGATAGATTCGATCTGGGAAAATATCTCTGCTCAAAAACTTGGGTAAGGATCTATTCAATTTTTCTTCTTCTATACCAGCATTTGAACATTTGCTAATGTTAGAATCAATCTGTCGCACCGTTAATTGCCGCACAAATCTATCGACAAGCGGTCATAATGGCACTTCATTCTGACACTCAACGGCATTACGAAAATAATGCCCGGTACGTTGGTGGGTGTGGGTGTGGGCGGAGTGTCAGTGTGGATTGATGCGGGTGTTGGTGTTGTTATGGATCCCAGTGAAACATTTTTGATTGAAAATCCGATTTTTTGAAACTAAATCAAGATTTTAATCGGTTAAATGAATTTTCTTTATGAGGATACAAAGAAAATCGACGTAATCGATTAAAGTCAGATTTTTATCTATATTCCAAATATGTTATTAGTTTTAAGTGAAAAAAAATATCAATTCGACTAAAGTCAGACAATTATCAATCGAAAAACATATCAGAATAAAAGAGTAAAATCTGAACATATCGTCATGCTTTTATTCAAACAAGTCGTGTATGTTTTTGTAAGCCGTCAATTATTTTTCCAGAAAGCTAAATTTCATGACTGGAATATCTTTATATTCTAAGATCTTAGACCCAGTATTAATTAGAGCTTAACAATGCAAAAATTTATAAAGGGTGGTCACAAAGTTTTGACCTCTCTCTGCAAATTGATGTTATCTACATGAATACATATGTATATAGTTGATTGAAATATACAGTTTTGTAGAGAATGAGAAGGGCTATCACATCTGAAAAAAAGATGATTGAAATGGTGTCGTAGTTATGAAAAGTTATGATCATTTTATTCATGATGACTAAGCAAAAACACGTTCATTTTTTTGCACAAACAAAAAAGTTCTTTAATTTTTGAGCCATTTAAGTCGATTGAAAGATCGTCTTCTACAAGTTTCTACTAGATTTTTTTCTATAATCCGATAGACTTTGGCAAGCTCTACAAGAATATTCATATCAAACAAAGATTCTGATCCTTCTTTCAATACAAAACTTGGAGAAAACTAGAAAGGTTAATAAAAATCTGACATCTCTTGTATTAGAGAGAGTACGCTTGACTTTCAATAGCTCTAGCTGATCGACTATTAATTTATGTTTCGAGATGCAGTGCCATATTTTGAAGCTGAAAGTAATCTTTTCGAGCTTTATGAACAGACAGAACAACTGATCAGCCTAAGTTGTCGAAAGTTCAGCACACTCTCTCTTATACAGTATGCATGAAATTTTTATCAGTCTTTCTGATTTCCTTCAAGTTTTCTATTGAAAATACTATCGAAATTTTGTTGATATTTGTATTCTTGTAGAGCTCGTCGAACTCTATCGAACCATATAAAAATATTTAGGAAACCATATTTCGCTTCACACATTACAAGCATATTTTGTTTTTCAAAAAAAAAATGTAATGTGTTTTTGCTTAGTCATCAGGAATAAAATGATCATAACTTTGCATGACTAAGACACAATTTCCATCTTTTTTTTCAGATGATAGCCCTTCTCATTCTCTACAAAACTGTATAGTTCGATCAAATATCTACATATATAGCCATGTAGATAACATCAATTTACATAGAAAGGTCAAAACTTTGTGATCACCCTTTACTAATGCACGTAATTCTTCCTTGTTTGCTCCTCTCGACTCAATGAAAGATTATTTTTCTCAGCTTATGGTATCGAAATGAGGCAGAATTCATGCTCCATTGATCACACTATGAGTAAGCTCCTTGGCCACTATCTCCATTTCAGAAGCAATTTCTATTCAGCTAGTATAAACAATGAAGAAACATTGAAAATTCTCATAGAGATAGTATAGAATTCAATAATGTTTTATTCCATTTTGCTGGGCATTAATAGAGAATTTTCAATTATTCGCGGGATGTACATCTGTCTTCCACTTTTGCCTTTTGTAGAACCTGAAGATTTCTTTACTCAGCATTAAAGCATATTGTGTGGATGTGGTCTACTGCGCCCAGTCCTTTTATCGCACGTTTTTTATTTCAGTGAATTCGACAAGTATGCTATGTCAATTATCGATCGATGTTTTGATAATGACGAATATTTTGCGGTCGAACTTTTGAAACAACCGGCTGTCGCCTTTTTCAATGTCGATCCACTTAAACTTGCTGAAGGAGCCACTTGTCGATCTTTTCTTGCATCGAAGTGTGTTCAAAGCTATCTCGATAATAAATGGTAAGTTTTCTTTTTCAAAATCAATTGCAAGAAAATATTTTTATGCTACAGGTTCGGTAACATTAATTACAAACGAAAAGCCATCGAATTTCAAGTAATCTTCTTCTTGTTTCAATGAACTTTAAAATTTATTTGTCTAGATTTTTTTCTGTGCAATCTTCCTTCCACTATTTCCTTTGTTCTATATCTTTCTATCGTATGTACAAGAACACAAGCAGGTCTGTTTTTTTTTGTTTTTTCTTCCTGTTTATCTCTATGTTCCTCATTCACAATTTCAAAGATATTCCCAAATGCCAAAAGTCGCTCAAAGGGAAGATATGTTGCCATGATTCGCACTGTGATAATGTAAGAGCAAGATATTTTGTACTGACTACAGTCTTTCGTTTATCTCAAGGTCTGATCGAGATGCTGCATATAAACCTATAGGTTGCTCCAAAAAACTTGGCTATTTCTATCGGGCACCCGTCGTGCGATTCTACTACCATGTGGTAAGTATTTCAATTGGATTGTGTGCGTATTGAATCATTTAAATGTCTATTTTTTTGAAGATATTTTACATCACATTTCTTGGACTGTTCAGCTTTGTTCTTCTTGTTGATTACTTTCCATGGAATATTTATAGGGGACATAATGCAGGCATAACATATCTACCAATGTCAATTACTGAAATCACTCTTCACGTTTGTACGTGGAGTTTAATTCTTGAAGAATTGTGTCAAGTGAGAAGCAAAGCCATCAAGTATTTTGAAAATATAGCTCTATTTTTTTCTAGTTTTATTTAATGGAGCGCAGTGAATATTTTGTTTCCATGTGGAATTGGATAGATATCGCTGCTATTGTCTTGTATCTTGTCGGATTTGTCACGAGATTCTTTGTGAATGAAACTCTCTTCACCATTTCGAAGTGTGTTTTCAAAACTTTTTAGATTTTTCTGTTTGAGATTGAACCAATATGTGACGACGTTATTTTGAAGCAAAACATACTTGTTTTATTTTCTAGAATCACCTTGTGTCTTGATCTAATCCTATGGTTTGTTGGAACTCTTCATCTATTTGCCGCATTCGAGCGACTCGGACCAAAATTAGTTATGATCTTTAATACGGTCAGTTTGTTTGTCTCTCATCTTTGATCTATATATTTCGTCGTTTTATTTATATAGATGAAAGATCTCCTATTCTTTATCTGTTT